GGGTTCTGGGAACAGGAGCCATTCACCTTCCCCCGCACCGCTGAGATGATGCCAACGGAAGTCCAAGGGAGAGGTTTCCATGCTGAGCCATGCTGGCTCAGGAATTCTGGGAGTTGAAGTCCACGAGTCATAAAAGAGGCAAGGTTGCCTACCCCTGCCCTAAACTCTCCTCAATCTGCCCTCTGACTTTCACACTCCCCCTCACACCTTTGTGCATGCTCCCTGGCCCATTGTGCCTCTTGTGCACCCCTTCTAACCTTTCCTGCATCCCTGTACACCTTCCCCCACCTTGCAAGAGTCATCTACCTGCCTGCTGGCCTGGGACTTACAATTTCCTCCAGCTTCCCCACTGACTTTGGTTGTGGGAAACGAGCAGAAAATTGCCTAACGCTGTAGGATTCAGTTAATGATGGCAATCTGGACTGCAGGGAGTGCCGTCACTAAGCGATACGATTGCACTTTACAACTGCATCCCTTAAAGATGGAAAACCCCAGTCCCAGCTGCTAATAAGACAGGCTGAATTTTAAAAATGTTTTTAATGATCGTGTAGTCCCAGATGTAACTTTTGATTAAGGACTTCGCTTACTTTAGTGTTAATAATTAATTCTGTAAATATCAGCAATTTAACACGAAGTGCTATAACCACTGTATTTGCCTTCAATGTAATTTATTTTTCCCTATTTAGAAATACTAATCAAAATGATAATATTAAAAAAGCATACATTCTGGACTTTTATAATAAAGTATTTTGGTTTATATCCAGACTTAATAATGTCAACAGAAATCAGTGGGATATATTTTAAGTAAATCTTACATTAAAATCTAACCCTAGTTTGAAGAGAACACTGATTTGTTTGTTTCATCAACAAGATTTATTTCAGAGGAATGTTGAAGAACTACCAAGAAACAGGAAAATGGGTCATTATAGTTGTTACATAAATGTATTTCATAAAACAAATGAAGCATTCGATGAGTCATATTATTAACTTATGACCTGGTCCCTTAGAAGCAAATTTACTGTACATAATCAGACAGAGAGATTGCATTGTTGAAAGGTGTAAACTGTTTTTAAGAGTTTTATTACATACTAATAGCTATGAACTTTGTTAAGAATTATGTCTATTGTCCTTGGATGGTGCAAATGGCCATTCTCCTTTCTGGCCTTGCTAACACGAGCAAAATACAGTTCTTAAGCTACAAGTTTCAATATACTTCACTACTGGTGATGTTGGCTGAAGTTTACACTTCAGCAACATCCAGATTACACATTGCCTCTCCTCTCCCCTCCCCTCTCCTCCTCTTTTACCAATTCTCAGAGACTGCCTGGAGAAGTCTCTGGAGTTTTCTTGGCAAGGTTTTTCAGAAGTAGTTTTCTATTTTCAATAGTAGTTTACTATTAAGAGCCGTGGTGATGCAGTGGTTAGAATGCAGTACTGCAGGCTACTTCTGCTGACTGCCGGCTGTTGGCAGTTCGATCCTCAGCAGCTCAAGGTTGACTCAGCCTTCCATCCTTCTGAGG